ACTCATCTCTGTTTCAGATGTTCTATCTTCCTAAGGTACCATTTCTAGAATATATATGAAAACTGTAACACACCAATTTTCTTCTTCCTAAAGCAGATTCCAACTAAATTACCTTTCCCAGATCATTTTACCTGACAAGTTTGGAAAAGTTCAACTGTATGCCTAGGTAGTTTGGCCTTCTCTTGTGCTACAGAGCTTAATTCTGGAAACTTGGCTCTGTGCCAGCTCCCACCTCCTTCCTCAATTCACTCAGACATTAGCCCCCTAAACTGTAATAAGAAGATTCAGCAGAAAGAATTTGGCTGACAGATAGCCTATAGACTTGAACCACAACACCCATTCTTTCCTAGGTCTCCAGCCTATTGGTTAACCCTCAAGATTTTGGACTTTCCAGCTACTGTAGTCATGTGAGCCAATTCCTTAAATAACTATATACCTTCCTCTCCCCTAACACTACTATTGTATACACATCCCCATTAGTTCGGTTTCTCTCAATGAACTCTTAACTGTACAGTCATGCTTAATGTGTCACAAGTTTATTCAATGGACTATACTGCTAGTTATTTCTGGTCCCCTCTGAACACTTGGGTTGTCTCTTGTTAGATCCCATGCCAGGCTTTTCATTCTGTATACCCCTCTTGGGGTTCAGGTAAAGCAAACCTCATCTTTCACATTAAATGGAACTGTCACAGGACAGTGGGGAGATAAAGCAACAAGGCTCTTGTGTTCAGATGAAAGAAAATTTAAAGTCAGGCACCAAAAACCATGCAAGAGAATTTTATAAAAATTGAAAGGAAAGGAAAGTAAGGCTCAGGCAAAAGAGCACTCTCAAGAAAAGAGAGAACAGGTGGTCTCCCAGTGGAGAATGACAAAGGAAACAGTGCTCTCTCCAAATTTATTCCTGTTTGATATTTGCCTTGAGAACTGGGTTCCACCTTCTGCACTCTTTGCCAATAAGGTGTGCCACTCCTCCTTCACGTTGGGCAGTGGAGATTTGGACTCTAATTGGTCCTTTCCAAAACTGTCCTATGTAGGGGGACTTCATCTACAAGTCAATCCTATGTTAACATGGATAGGGGGCGGTCAGAGGCAAGTCAGAAGTTATCAGTGTGTGCCTGCATTACTAAAGAAACCTCCCTTCTAAGATACATGGAGGCAGCAGTGGCCATAATTCCTAGTTTTACCCTAACTTCAGTGGTTCCTGTCAAGAGTTAGTCCCATTAATCCTTCTGTCTTGATGCATTTCTCCAATTAGCTCCCTCTTTAGCTCCTTTTGTTTCTATTTGCTTACTCTCAAGGTCTTTGTACCCATATTTTTCTACAGGTTATCTGCTACAAGTTAATTACTCATCTGCCTTGGCAGTAATTTCAAGAAAACTTTATGAGTAACTCAAAGTAAATGCATAATCTTGCTATACATCCCACTACCTATTACTAACTACAGCCTAACAGATGGTAATTCAGGTGTGAGCCATTATTTCTCCCTATTCCCTGTCCACAGAAACTGTCAAAGGATTTTTTTTTTATTTTGTGGAAAATGCAGTCTCTCCCCAACTCACTGGGAAGGAAGAGTCTCATGGTTCTATTGCTTCTGCAGTCTACCTTGTGACCGTGGGGGAAGTCAGCCTTAAGAAGAGGAAGAAACAAGAAAAGCACAGAAAAGTAGAATTGTATGACCCAGGTCTAAAGCTAACCCTATTTCCCACGTGTCTATTTATGAACCAGTGAATATCCTGACTCCTTAGATCAGATGGCAGGGGAAGACGCATCTAATGTCTCCAAATGCCATTCCCACTGGTCAGTGGGTCTGAATATAGGCTCGATGCCCCCAATGTTGTTGGCCTCTGCTTTGCCCCACTCTAGTATTGCTGTTTACTGAGCCTCAGCTTTTAAAGAATTTTCTGTGGTGAATGTGTCTAGACCTCCATTTGCACTTTCATTTCTCACCAGGAAGGAGCATCACCCAACATACCAGCCATGTGCAGGGGGTCTAAAACCCTGTGTTTCTCTTCCTCTCTCTCTCTCTCTCTCTCTCTCTCTCTCTCTGTGTGTGTGTGTGTGTGTGTGTGTGTGTTTTGCTCCTGCTCTCTCTCTTTTTATAGAGATCTGAATTCCTGAACAACCTAGGAGAATCCCTCCATTCACTCCCTCCAGCCCATGCCATGGTGCAGTCCTCTACCTGGTGGTACATAAGATGGGGAGTTCTAAAATGGAAATGCTCCTTGGTCAGAGACTGTTTTTCCACCCTCTGAAAAATTTCTTATCTGGCCAACTTTAGAACCCAATTCTCCTGAGCTCCATCCTTAATATTTTGACTTTCCCAGTTGCAGATCCAGCATATTCTGTTAGCGCATCATTTCAGTTGCTAAGTTGCTGGAATGTGAGGAGCCATATGCATTCATCTTTCTTGGGGAGAAACTGAGGGTGGCCTGTGTGGAAGGGGAAAAATGCAATGGAGATTTGGTGATCTTGACCACTATCCTGTACTAACAAAACGGTAGCTCCCTTTCAACTGAAGTCTTGCACTTTAGGATTTGAAGAAATTTAATCATTTGTCAATACCCAGGATAGAAGGGAGTCTGGAAGACATAATGTTTGTTTGTTTTAATTCTACCTTAAGCAGGCAAAACTTAGGGAATCATCACACCATGAGGAGCCATCGAAAATGTGTTGGAAAGAGGTTGTTAGGCCATGAATGCTACATGCCACTTACATTTATTCTTTAAGTGCACAGATACTTGGGTGGGAATGGAAGTGTATCATTGTAAGTCAAACTTACACTTTACCACAATCACTTACAGTTTAGTCTTTCTGCCCAGCATGAATCATCCTCTCAGATTCTGCAGTCATGGTGACTTTCTCTTGGAGACCAACTGCTCCTCTGTGTCATTCCTCAGGTCAGTTTCTATTTCAAGTCCCAACTGCAAAAAGCATTCAAAATCATTTTGAGGGATGCCCAGTCCCATTTTAATCCAGGATAATGGTTTAGAATCTGTTGAAGCCTCCTGTTTCATGATAGTTAGAAAGACTCCTAATATTCTGTGACCATCCCCAAGCTTACTTGTTCTGTGCATTTGGAGGGACCCTAGCAGATGATTTTGCTGAATACCACCAGTCAAGAGTCTCAGCTTCAAATGTATAGAAGAACCAAAGTTAAAGTCAGGAAGGCCAAAATGGAGTGGGCTTGTATGTGAAATGTGCTCAAACTGAAGACCAGGGGGAAGAATGGAACTATGACCAGATAATGCTGAGTAAAGAGAAATAATAGCCATGATTTATCCAGCATTTTCTCTGTCCCAGGCACTACCTAACTCTTACATGCATTCATTGAATTCTTACATCTACTCTGTTGAGATGAGTAACAACTGTGATCACCATTTTTCAGATGAGGAGCTCAAGGCACACAGAAGTACAAATTTTGTTACCCAAGTTCACAAAGCTATTAAATGAGGCAACTTGGGTTTGAACACAGGCAGTCTTCTTTCCTACACTCTCAGTTAATATCAAAGAGACTAGATATGTGCATCATCAGGAAAGGACGCCTTTTTTCCTGCACTTTGCTGGGGATACACTGAACAATTTTGTGTGTGTGTTGCTCCTGCTCTCTCTCTTTTTATATTTTATATTTTTGTTCTCCATATTTTACCATGTTTTTATTCTATTTCTCTTCTTTCAATGTAGTTGTTTTATGTTTTGTTTATTTGTTCTTGATTTATTTTATGCTTATGTCTCAACTTAGGTCCCAGTTAAATTATTCCTCCCTTTTTGAGCAGGATTGGTGTCTTTCATGTTTTTGTTTTGTTTTGGTGGGGAGACAGTGTTTTACTGTGTTACCCAGTGCCCAGGCTAGCCTTGATCTTCTGGGCTCAAACCATCTTTCTGCCTCAGTCTTCCAATTATCTGGGACCACAGGTATGCAGCACTAAAACCCAGTGCATTATATGTAAATTTAATAAGCAAGCTTTTTTTTTTAATAGTCTTCTACCAGACTGCCGAGGTACTTTAGCTGAAACAAATGGAATGGGGTGGAAAGGCAGCATTTGTGGGATAGGAAGTGCAGGCACTGCAAAGACAAAATCAGGGGAAGCACAAGCTGACATTGCTTTGTCATTTGCAACAATTCAAATGTAAAGCAGTAAGCATGCTTTCCAAAAATTTGGTCATTCTCTTTAGTCTATAGGAAATTTACAGTGCTACTGTTAATATTTTCTATTTTTTCTTCCCTACCACTATCTATTCATTGCTAAGAGCCCAATATAAGAGTAAAAACCAATTTCAAGATTAAGGGTAAATGTCCCTTCCTATTACAAAGAATTTCCTGACCACTCCCCAGCCCTTTGAGTAGAACTGATATGCCCCTGATGTGTTCTCACCAGAACCTCTGTGAACTTTGACTGCAAGATAAATAAAGCTATAATGCTATTTTTAATTTAAAACTCTCTCTCTCTCTCTCTCTCTCTCTCTCTCTCTCCCTGACTCTTTACTTCTCTTCTTCTTCTCCTTCTTCTCCTTCTTCTCCTTCTTCTCCTTCTTCTTCTTCTTCTTCTTCTTCTTCTTGAGATACATTATCCCAACTCCACTTTACAAGTAACAGAACTGAGGCACAGATATATGAAGCAAACTGCCCAAGGTCGCATGACTTATCAAGGATGAAATGAAGGGGTACCAAATCCAGGTGGTTCAGTTTCAGGGGCTTCATGTTTGACCATAGTACTCTATTGCCTAACTCAAAAAAAAAATGTCTACCTGACTGAAGAAAAGGCTGTCATGTTCACTGTTAATCTACAGCTAGAAATTCTGCCCAGAATTAACACATTATTCTAGATGATAGGTTTTCATGTGGATAGTTATCTTATTTGGAGTAGCAAGAAATTACCTTTTCATTTTCATCTGATTTCTAGTCCAAAAAGTCATATTATAAATTTTCTGTTCACACACACAGTATATTTTAATTCTTTTTTAAAGGTCTGGTTGTTGGCACATATATATTCCTTTTTTTTATCTTTCTATTTTTTAAGATTTTTTTATTTGTTTTAATTAGTTACACATGACAGTACAATGATCTTGACATATCATACATTTGAATCAGATGGGATATAAGTTCTCATTTTTCTAAGTGTACAGGTTGCAGAATTACATTGGTCATGCACACATACATTCTTTGATCAAAGTATTGATAATAACTTGGAGGTACAAGAGAAAAAATATGTCGTTTCTCATTCATTGGTAGGTTCATGGTTGAAGCACCTATAACAAAGCACAGCTTAACAAGAGAAAAGCACACAGAATTACTTAATACAAGTTTTACATGACATGGGAACCTTCATAAGGAAAGGAAAAAAGCAGGGAAAGCTATGTATTTTTATGCTAACTTTGATGCAGCATGGACAGTTGTGGAGAAGCAGGACTGAACCAAGAGGCTATGTATGATTGTTTTAATTAGTTCACTAAAAGATCCAACCAGAACAATTGTAGAGGAGGAAAAGTTTATTTGAGGGCTCATGGTTTCAGAGAACTTAGTCCATAGAAGGCCAGCTCCATTCCTCAGGGCTTGAGGTCTTAGTCCTTAGAAGGTTGTCTCATATGTGAGCTTTTGGGGGGCACCTCACATCCAAACGATAACAATGATCTAATAGTGAAAAACTGGGAGTAATTGAGCAAGTTGTTTGTTCATGTTCTACTCTGTGTCCCTGTGTCTTCAGAAAAAGGATATTCCTTTAATTCAGATAGAGAAAAGTTACCTCTTGAATGAAAGTCTTATTGTCACTGGAGTGGGGGTGTGTCAAGGAAATCCTGGAGAGGGGGCCCTCAACTCAGGAAAACAGGATCCTTGAAAAACACTGGAGAAAGGAATTTCAAGACATATCAAGTAGAGGCACCAACGGAGAGTTATTCAGAAAAGCAAGGAGTACACATTCAAAGAAGAATGCAGGCTATTTTGAAAGTGAGACAGGCTTTTCAGCCTCAGGCTCTTAAAGGAAACCTTGTGAGTGGTGGGCATGGGAAGGTATGTGGGGATGACATCAGTCTGGTGATCACAAGATGTTTTGTGGTGGTATGGCAGTTCTCGGGATCCTTAGGTTGATGTCTTCCCCATTGTTGGATCATTAGATAACACTGGGGAAATACACTATATTTCCCCAGTTTCATATCTTAATTTGCTCAATCTATTTTTTAAAATGTATGCAGTAATGGACATGTATATAGTGAATTTCCAGAAAGTTGAAGATAATGAGTAAAACTCTGTAGAATTCTCAGAAATTTGAGAGTAAAGGGCCTGAGGAAAAACTGACATTGGAAGTGAAGGTATGAGGAATTTTAGCACAAGACTTTTAGATTAAAATTGTACTCCTTTTCCTTCCTTTTGTCTCCTTTCAACCTGCCTTTATCTCTTCTATTCTACCTCATAATTTGCTTCAAAAGAAGATCATTCTTTCATGGTCTACTTCAGAGGGGAAGGGGAAGAGGTCAGGGAGTCCTTTCTGCTTCTGCTGTCTTCTCAAATCTAAAATGCCATATTTGGGAGTGTCATGTTCCTAAATCTCATCAGAGGCAAATGCTTACAATCAGAACCAAGAAGGCCACATAAGTCAAGCAGCTCATGAGACATTTAAGATGGTAGGCCTGTGGTTCAGCCAACATAGGCAAAGTATTCTATTTCTGCATGATTAAGGTTTTTTGAACAAATTTTACTGAGATTTGGGATCTGAGTTGAAAGGCCAAGCCTGGAATTAATTGAAGAGTGATTAGCTAATGAGAATTCCAGAGAGATTTACCTCCCCCAAAGTATGTGTGTTTTCATCTTAAGGAGGAGTGAACCCCTAGGGCCATGAAGACATCTCTAGGAGGTAAAGCTAGAGTTCTGGCCTTATCTTTCCTGTGGAGAAATTTATTTATATTCCAAAGGGTAAACACCTATATCCTCCTTTGTATTCCCAAGGAGAAATTGTTTATACTAGGGAATAAAATATTTCTCTTCATATCTCAGAGGGGGAAAGATCCATGCACACACACACCTCCAGATTTTATTTTATTTTACTGAGCTACATCTCCACCCCTTTTTATTTTTTCTTTACAGACAGGGTCTAAGTTGCCCAGGCTAGCCTTGAACTTGCGATCCTCCTGCCTCAGCTTCCAGAGAAGATAGGAGTATAGGCATGCATCACTGCCTCCAGTACCAGATTCATTTTTGATGGTTTCTTTGACTTTTGTATACACCAAAATGTGTAGGATGACACCATTTGGTTTTAATTGCATGACCTCTTGGGTAACAACTGGGAAAAAAAAAAGGTGCAGGCATGAGTATTTTCTGTAAATAAATAATCTTCTCTGCTCTAGTCACTAGTATTGGCATTCAAGATAACAGCAATAAATATAGACACGTGAGATTAAAAAAAATAATGTGAATGACCTTGTCTAGCACCAATGAAAATGAGATTTTCTCTGTTAACCAAACAAAACATATCTGCTGGTTGACTTCAGTCATCAAGTTGCTAGTTTGTACTCACTAATGTAAGATAGACTTGCCTTTTGAAAGTGAGCTGTCATGTGATTTGTAAGGCACCCAAAAGACCTCTTTTCCCAAGGCAAAATATATTATTCTCTACTTTTCTGTCAAGACTTCCAACATCACTATTGGAAATTCATTGTTTTGTTAGTTAAAAACTGTTACAATGCTAAAACATATATTTTAGAGTGCTAACCCCTAAATGGTTATCCAATATTGATGTTAATAAATTAATTTGTTCAACCATCATTATCCAGAGCCACCTAAGAACATCTGCCTACACAATACAGAATTATTTACCTATATGTTGATAAAAGATCAAGGTGGAGAGAGGAACTAAGGCCTTATGAATCAGGGCAGTGCTATGTATTCTCAGAGTATGGGGGACTTGGGTGTCACCAACAGAGAGAGGACATTGGACATTGAAGTGGCAACTTCCCTTTCAGCATAGAGAGGAAGACACACTGAAAGAGGAAGTAACAAGGCACCAAGGACAAAATGCATACTTCTTTAGGTTTCTTGGTTCTTTTTAGCAACTATTGTTTTTTTTCTTCAGCCCAGTGTTTTGAGTGATGTTGAGAAATGTGTTCTCAAGAACATGGTAGCTATCCTTTTTCTGAGTCTAAGCACACATGGCTAGAATTATGTTTGTTGGGCTTTTTTCATTGCAAGGAACAGAGACACTCCAATTGCCTGTTGCCAGAGATGTTGTCACTATGTGTGGGGGAAAGTCAGAAAATGAGTCCCTAGGGACCACAGAGTTCATTCAGACAGTTCCACCAAGCCTCTAGCACAGCTGCAGCTGTAAGCCAGACCTCACTGAGGTCTTGTTCTTGTTCCTTCCACCACATGATTCTTTTTGCTTACTATTCTATCTCTACCTCTGTTTCTTGAAGTTGTGGCCTCTTCTTTTCTCTTTTCATCCTCCCCCCAGTGCCATCCTCCTCTCCATTGTGGTTTCCACTCCAATTCTCTGAAAGAGAATGGATTCATTATGGCATGACCCTGGGTAAGAAAAAACAGTACAGCACAATCAACATAAAATCAAAATGACAGTGACTTAAACCAACAGGGGTTTATTTTTTCCTCTCATTACAAGAGTCCAGAGGTAGGTGATCACAGATATTGGTTCAGCTGCTCATTAATGACTGGATGACTCAATCTTCCTATTTTCCCATTTTTAGCCATTGACTTTATTTTAAATTTACATTTTCTGTTTTTTTTTAACTGACAAGAAAAAATTGTACACAGTTATGGTGTAAAACACTATGTTTTGATATATATTAAATATGGAATGGCTAAATCAAATTATTTAACATATATTACCTCACACACTTATCATTTTGTGTGTGTGATGAGACTCTCTACTTTTATCAGTTTTTAAATATACATTATTATTAACTATAGCCACAATAAATCTCTTGAATGAATCCAGTTAGAATTGTCTAACTGAAATTTTGTGTCTTTGACCAACATCTTCCCAATCCCCCATCTCTCACTTTACTCTGTTTCTTTGAGTTCAAAACATCTTTAGACTCCACATATGAGATGATAAATTATTTCTCTTTCTGTGCCTGGCTTATTTTTCTTAATACAAGGCCCTCCAGGTTATTTGTATTGTCATAAATGACAGAATTTCATTCTTTTTTTAAAGCTGAATAATTTTCCTGTGTGTGTGTGTAATATAATTTTTTTCCTTTCATCCATTGATTAATAATTGACTTTTTATCCTCAATATTATTGCAGCTGCAAGAGGCCCTCTACAGAGGTAGTCATCAATGTGTCTACATACAAAGCAGGTAGACTTCGAAATGCCAATGAGCTCCCCTCTTGCCTCTATCCCTTTTTATTTATTTATGCACAAGGCATTGAACTCAGGGCCTCATGCATGCCAGGCAAGCACTATACCACTAAGCTGCATCCTTATCTTTTTCATTTCATTTTGAGACAGCCTTGCTAAGTTGGCCTCCAGTCTAAAATCCTCCTGCCTCAGCCTCATGAGTAAATGGGGTTTACAGATGTGTATCTCCATGTCTGGTTTGCATCTTCCCTTCTATGAACAATGAAATAATGCTCTACATACACACACACACACACACACACACACACACTTTTGCTTATGTCACACTGACCAAAACTATGTCATACAACAATACTTAGCTGCCACAAAGGTTGGGAAGGTGAGCTGTTATTGCCTCTATAGTGGGAAGGCAGCAAGGCAGAAAGAGGTTGAGAAATGCTGTTAAAAGTGAGCTAATTAACCATTTCTGCCATTGTGCCATGCAACATGGGGATTAATCCTTGGCTGTGCTCCACAAGCCATCTACTAGATAACTTTGCCATTTACAGATAACTGTCTTTGAGGCAGGCATTGGTCCAATATGATCAGATGTCAGTGTAGCAGCTAAGAAGGGTGAGCAAGACAAGAATGGATAGTGCTCTGTTTAGGACCAGCATAATATTCAAACATCTCTAGATTCTCATTGGTGACCCAAATATAGCATAAATTTATACCTGCTTCAATTGTACATCTATTTATAAGCTTATTTGTTCATTCATATATTTATTCAGTAAATATAAATGAAATGATAGGCACTTATTTAGGTGCAAGGGACATAGTAGTGGAGAAAACAAGAAGTTTATTTGCTAGAAGAGAGATACAACTGAAAAAATTTTTATACACATGCATATATGTGTATATGCATATATTTATATATATCTAGACATATGAACTTATTTTTTAAAATTTTTATTTGTTTTAATTAGTTATACATGACAATAGAATGCATTTATGTAATTTGATATATCATTCATAGATGGGATATAATTTCTCATTTTTATGAGTATACATGTTGCAGAATCATTGGTCATGTAGTCACATATATACATACAGTATTAATGTCTGTTTCATTCTACTATCTTTCCTACCCCCACATCCCCTCTCCTTATCTCCTATCACTTCCCTCTACCTGATCTAAAGTAATGCTATTCTTCCCTAGCACCTCCCACCTTATTGTGAATTAGCATCCACATATTACAGAAAACATTCAGCCTTTGGTTTTGTGGGATTGGTTTATTTCACTTACCATGGTATTCTCCAACTCCAGCCATTTACTGACAAATGCCATAATTTTACTCTTCTTTAAAGCTGAGTAATATCCCATTGAGTATATATGCCACATTTTCTTTATCCATTCATCTATTGAGGGACACCTAGGTTGGTTCCATAACAGTTATTGTGAATTGAGCTGCTATAAACATTGATGAGGCTGTATCACTGTAATATGCTGATTTTTAAGTCCTTTGGGTATAAACCAAGGAGTGAGATATCTGGGTCAAATGGTGGTTCCATTCCCAATTTTCTGAGGAATTCCTTAAATCTCAGATTAAGTCCCTTTTTATATTTCTATAATCCAGCTGTCCTTGTTAATGTTTACCACAAATTCAGTAATTAGTTGTGGAGAAAATATTGTATGCATAAATGTGTGTGTGTATGTATGTGTGTGTTTAATTTCCAGTGATATCTCCAGATGGTAATAAGTTCTACAACAACAACAACAAAACGAAGTTAAGGGCAATGTGGATACAGTGGCATGGCTACATGTGGGACAGCAAAAGCATTGGCTATAATTTATAGAATAATCTAGAAAATTGAACTAGTGCTTCAGTCACAAATTTCAAGCTGTCTCCTTTAAAGGGAAGCAAGCAAACTCTTCAGCCCTGGAGAAAAGGGAAGGAAACACAGTGCCAGAGCTCAAACACACAGTATGTTCTTCACACCCAGTCTCTGTCCTCACCATATTTCTAATTTCTTAAATTATTTTACTTGGCCTATTAACTTCCTCTAAGGTATGTCAAGTGTGGCCTTCAAAATGTAACCCTGTTTCAGTGTACTCTTGGTTTTGGAATGATCTACCCTTCACCATCTACCCCTCAAACCCAAATTTGTTTTCTTGGTTTTAAAAACTCACCAGAGGCTCTAGTGAAAACCAACATATACTTGGATGTTCTCTAATCATTAGGCCTTGGAAATTTACCAGGGAAGCTGTCATGCTTCTCATTTTTTCCTTATAAGCTATTCAAGATTTGTGTATTGGGAGGCTGGAGTGGTGGCTCATGGTAAAGCATTTGCCTAGAGTGTGTGAGGCCCTGAGTTTGATCCTCAGCACTGCATATAAATAAATAAAATAAAAGATGCATTGACAACAAAAATTTTTTTAAAAAAGACTTGTATATTGGATGTTTAATTATGTGTATTTTATCATCAACATCCTACCTCTCTTATTAGCCTGTGACCCTCACAACCCCATCTCCCAACTTTTTCAGGCCACAACATAATTGTAACTCCCTTCAGAAAGAATTTTCTTAAAACAGCCTAAATCCTGGTTTGTGCTCCTTTAATATAATTGTTTTCCCTGAGAATGAACAATTCCCACATTTTCAGAACTTATTTATGCAATAGCTATTTAACGCTTAGTTTCACTCAGTAGACTGTAAACTCCATGAGGGCAGGAGCCACAACTGTCTTGTGCAAGTCTGTATCTCAGTGCCTGTTTGTGTTAGTTATAAATAGTAGCACTCAATAATATTTAGTGAATTAATAAGCATCTTAACCTCCAAATAACTAGCACAGACCCTTGGAAAAATATTCCCCAATGGGTGCTGTGATTGTGAAGCTTTGCCAAAATCTTCCTTGGGAAATAGAAGAATTAGTCCCACCTTCTCCCTGCCACAGGAAGTGCTGCTAAGTAGACACCCTCAACTATTAGCCTTCTTCATGGTAAAGCTCCAGTTAAAAATACAGAAGCCCCAATTTGTGTTCTGTTCTGGGGGCAATTTGCATTCAATGACTGATTAGTATTGAAACGTATGGCCCAGCCTCTTATATCAATTAAACACCTCTGCAGGGTCACCCCAGCTTCAGAGCTTCCTGTGGAGTCTGAAGCCTGTGTTGGGATGGAATCACAGATCAACTTCTTTTTTGCTGTGCTTCCTCCGCCTCTAATTCACAGAGGTTTATCCCAAAGCACCTCCTAACAAGTGCCTTGCACCTTGATCTCCACAGTCAATGTCTATTCCTGGGTAACCTAGCCTGTGATGGGTACCATCAAAATATTTACAAACTGAATATTATGATTTATTTTAGTCCATAAACTCCTAAACAGCAAAGATCAGTTATTTATTCTTATGCCCTTGCAATGATTGGAGGGTGCCTTTTATAATAGTCATCATAATAAACACAAAAAGGTAATATTTCCCATAAATTAGTCTAGATTAAACTGAAGTCTCTCTATTCAAAGTGTGGTCCTAGCACCAAGGGTATTGGCATTCCAAGTATACACTGTCAGAAACCGCATTACTTCAAACCTCAACCTGTTCAGACCCACTGAATCTGAACATGCATTTTCACAGCTCACTCTAGCTCACACATACGTTAAAGTTTCAGAAATACTGAGTTAAGGGATTTATTAATATAAATAAAATGATCTAGCTGATTCATTCCTCTCTAGTTTGTACAGTGTCTTTGTAAATTTTTTTCTCTCAAAAGTTTTGCTTAAATCTAGTGTTGTAGTGCATTCTTTCATTCAACCAATACTAATTGAATGTCAAGCAAAGATTTCAACTGAATGGAACTTACATTCTAAAAGGGAGAGAAAATAAATGTGGAAAAGGCAAAAAGTGTCATGAAAAAATAGAGTGAAGTAAAAAGGGTGACAGTGCGGGTTGCAATATGTTTGCAAAAGATCATGGTAATTATAGAACTGAAGTAGTAGGTGGACATATACTTTTGTGAGCTTCTTGCTTGGGTGTTGCAACAAGGGCCAAGTGGTGGGAGTGGAATAAGAGATGTAAACTAATAAATGTGATCAGAGAGACAAGAAGGTAGATCTCTCGATGACAGACTGCTTAATAAATCACTACTTGACATTTCAAAGCTAAAAAGGTAATGCTAGTTGTTTTCACTCCAAGAATAAAGTAGTTAAGCCCATTCAAACTGGCTTGGGGGAGCTTGCACAAACTATATCATTAGCGAAGCCACAGTAACCTCAAACAAAACTGCGGGGAATGGAAAAGGTCTCTAAGGGATCTTTCTGTTCTACCATCTCAGGCTCTAAGACGCCTAGATGGCGACGTCTAAAGGGGTGAAATAATAATCATCGTCACACTGTGGGCAAAGGCCAAGTTCTGCAACCCCAGGACACTACACAAACAGGAAGATGAATTGCGGAAGATGAGCGTCAAGCTGAAACAAGGTAACCTTTGGTTCCTCACGTATCCCTGGGCTCAGATCTTGAATTCAGGCTGCGTCTCCCAGGACTTTGGGTGTCACGGGAGCACTCCCCTTGGCGATCTAGTCCCGCCCCACACCCAGCCCTCGCGTCCACGCCCCGCCTGGCAGTGCTGGGCCCGCCTCCCGCCGGACCAGGTTCTCCAGGTCGCGCTGGGCACCGGGGTCAGGGTTTTGGCCCCGCCCCTCCAGGCCCCGCCCTCGCCCAGGCTCCACTTCCTCGCCCACGCCCCGCCTCTCTCCAGCCCGCCCTCCCGTGGTCTTCCCGTCCAAACGGATTCCGGGTAGGGTTTGGGTTCCGCCCTATTTGCGTATCCGTGCCCCGCCTCGCCCTCCTGGCCCCGCCTCCTGCCTGCCTATGAGTACTTGACAGCGGAAGTGACAAAAGCCGGAGGTCCGCGGGTGCAGCGCCTGGGGACGCCCGCAGTTGGTGCTGGCTGGACCCGGAGGCCCTCGTTACCAGCATGACTTTCCTCGTCTTCCTGATCCTTATGGTGCAGGCCGGGAGCAGGGCTGAGATGAACGTCGCGGACCCAGAGCAGTCCTCGGGTACTGTCGCTGCGGCTGAGCCGCTGCCGAGTGAAGCTGGAGGGGACGTGGGAGGGCGGGGGCCGCCCAGGCCGGCCGGGAAGCTCCGCCTGGTCAGGCTGCCACCAGTTCTTCCTTGCAGTGCTTGCCCGCTATTCCATACCGGGGTCCCGCGATCCCGGGACCACCCGGTCGTCAGGCCCTAGGCTGGCAGCCGCGCGGGAGGCGACGCGGGGTCCGTGCGGTTTACACGCTTCATTTTAGCCTCTTTCATCCTTGTCAATGCAACAAACACAGCTCCCCTTTTTCTCAGATTCTTTTAGCCTGTTTTTCAACAAGTGGTTTTCCAGGCCGGCAGTTGACATGGCCACCGCTCGTGGCTTATGTAACTTTATTCTCAGTGTGTACCCCAACTCCTGAGATTTGTTATTGGTGGCAACTTGTCAATCTTCTAAGTGTAGCGGATTTGTTAGGCAGTGGGCCTCTTCACATAGCTTAGGTCCTGGGAACATTTTGTTTCTGCCTGCTTTTTGACACTTCCCAGGCCGAGGATAGCTTTCTTGAAGCTTACAGTATGGTAATAAAGAGCTTTAGTGAAATCCATAAACCTTTTCAGCCTCCAGTCTGGAGTGTCTCTGCATTTTCCAGTTAGTATCTGCCTGGAAGGCATAAGGAGGCCCAGCCTCCCAACCCTGGTGAACTCAGGGCCTAAGCCTTTGTATTATGACTTCTTTCCTGAGTTCCTGTTAGGTGTGTGCGCCGTTTTGTTTATATCTAACCCTACTTTGGCTTGATCTTCAAAAGTCAAGCAAATAAATACTTAGAAATTCCTTAGGACAGACATGGTTCAAGTTCTGGGAAGACAAAAATCTTAGTTACAGCAATTTGTCTTTTCAAGAATCATGATTTATCATAGTTAGCAGTTAAAAGGTGGGCTGTTAAAAAGTTAAAGGGTGGGCACCTCTCAGATCTCATTTTTTGCAACAACCCTACAAAGTAGGTGCTATTTATATCTCCTTTTATGGGTGAGAAATTGGAGAAGCACAGCAATCTGTCCAGCGGGCATAGAGATTATCTTTATTGCTTGGCTCCAGAGTCCAAGTTCTTAACCACTCTGCCAACTTTTATTACTAGGGCAAGTTAGGTGTCTACGTGGGTGATTACAGTACCTTGTGACAAGATCTTGAACTTATGTATTGGTTATGGGAAAGTAAGATAAGTTTACCAGGCTCTGTCCAGAGGAGTCAGTGACTTCTACAGAGAAGATGAGCCCAGCCTTAGAATTGGAAGTGCGGAGAGATCTGTGTGTGCATAGGCAGAGGTGTAAAACAGCATGTTGAATTAGTGGAACAATATACATTCATAGACTTGAATGTTTGAAGATCCAAGGGGAGAGAGATAGGATAGGTGGGGAGGTGAGAACCAGTTAGTGAAATACCTTGTCATGTATAACAACAAGAGATAGAAATGTAGCTTTGGCTAACTAGCAAAAAGAGAAATTTATTAGCTCAGAGAATCCAAGCAAGAATTGAACAGAAAATTAGAGATGCTAACTGGGCCTTAGGAAAATAGAAACTCAAACTGCTTGAACTTGCAATTTCTTATTTCTTGGCAGGAATCATGGATGCTGATACTGATGGCTTTAGGGTTTTAAAATCTGGCAGCCTCTTCCATCCTAAGAAAATCCAAGGGGAAGGCTCTGATTTTCCCAGCTTGGTGACATGCCAGCTCATATGGGAAAGACATTATAAAAGTGGGTAGTGCTGGAGGGTTCTCAGAATAAGAGACTTGGTGTTCTTGAAAGAAGTACAGGTGCTGAGCCAAAAAAATAATATGCCCATTATTCCTGGCTAAAGTCAGTGGGAAGCCACTGATTATTTTACAAAAGGGAATCATTTTATGCAGGATTAGATCTGCCAGTTAGACAAGCCAGTCATCATACAAAATAGTTTGAGGGTAGATACAAATAAAGGAGGTGCATTAGGAGGCTGCTGCTTAAGTCTGGGGAAGAGTCAATGAGAAATAATGATGTAAATGGAGAAGAGAGGACAGTCTGAGGAAGCATTAAGGCAGAGTCAGTAGAACTCTTGACTGACTGGGCAGAGAGGTAGATGACTCAGATTCCTGAATGGGACTGAGCATTAAACCAAGTGCCAAATCCTTCTGAATATAGGTTCCTCCTGAGCATTGAGCCCCTCATGACTGCAAAATTTGCACGTCTTTATTCAGAGTCTGCTCTTGTAGTGCAGTGCCTTCCTGCCTCCCATAGGAAGATCTGAAGCCTTCTGTACTCTAGAATTTTAGAAACACAAGGGTTGGTGAGTGCCCCTAGACAACCCTTGCTGTTTTGTAGTGCATTTTCCATACATGTCTTTAGATTTTCAGTGCATTTTTCTAAATTTTATTGTTTTTAAAGTTATTTTAAAATGCAAAATCTCCAGAGCATAGGAAGAAAACCCATAGTGACCTCTGCTTCTGACTCTTGATTAGTTTCTTGGCTTGCCAGTACCCATTTTTGGTCTGCAGTCTACATGTAACTCTTACTGTTGCTGGACTTATCTATACAAAGTTGAAAGTTCATCTTAGATGAGGGAACCTGATGTGAACACGGAAGGAGGTAAGATATTATAGTGAAATAGTCTTTGAGAAATCCAAGTGTTTGGGAATGTATTTTGTTACAGTCATAGGCATTAATTAATAGTGTTTCTTCATGCACTTTTACATATAAAATTAATAGATTTTAAGTGAATCAGAGTCTGCTGGTGGCTACCTTCTCTGCTGTTGCACTCTGGGTACTGCTTAAAGAGCCACCCTCTCTATTTTATCAGTTATGTTTCTACTCTTGTCTGACTTTAGGGTAATATTCTGGGTAGTGTTCCAATTTCTTATTATTTTCTTCAGAATCAATTTTTCCTATTTCAGAGATTCAAAGTACTAACATAATACATTTTAGTTATTTATTAAGTAAGTATTACATTTTCTTTTTAATTTATTCATGATTCATAGACTTTGAAGGATAAACACACTTTGGTCCTCCATAAAGGAAAACCCAAAGAATAAAAGAGAAAAATAATTTTAAAGAGCTGTCTTACAGAATTTGGCAGCACATGGCAATAGTACAGTTATTTTACAAGTAAGTTGAATAATTAATGGTTTCATTTAAAATGGACAAAGAATCAGAATGAAATTTGAACCAGAATGAAGTGTATTCCTGACAGAAAGGAGTTGGTTTACTTGTAATGGTCTTGTTAAAGAGATATCTTTTAGATATCTCAATATTTAGAAATCAGAATTCTACCTATCCTTTTCAGTCTTGTTCATTCTATAGAAATGATTTATGATAATACATTGTTCAAGTGTTGGAGTGGCCATGATTTAATTGTGATAGTAGTATAAAACTTTTTGTCTTTAGGAAGTTGAGATTTTGTTCTAAGAGATGTTCATTCAGATAAAGGGCCAGATGTTATATGGAGGATTTGTTTTTAAAGTATAGTATCAGATGACTTAGAATCCAAAAAAATTCATTGAATGACTGGCCCCTTTATCCTTCTGTCTGCTTCTCAATTTGTTCTTCCTATAGAGAGAGATTAGTCAGCAGATGTCTGCAGTGTCTGTGACTCCATTTCAGTGGATATATACTCCTTTATACAGACATTATACATTAGTGTGTCAGAGTGGGTAATGGACTCCACAGGTGGTCCCTCTTTAAAAAACAGGACTGCTTTTGGCAGTTATAGGGTGAAGCACAGATAGCAGCAGTCTTTACTCCTATCACCTGTCAACACAAAGGAAATTGCTCTTGTCCTCAAACTAATCTGTAGGTATATGTACTCTGCCACCCTCACCACCCTACATTGACCAGCAATTATTGCAGGGCTGTTCTAGCTGCTAGTTTTTGGTCTTTTGTGACATTCTTATTGCCCCATCAGTGACACTGCTCCATCACTCCTGATCTTCACCAGCCTTATCTGTCCTCTCACTTGCTAGCCTTTCATATCCTGTCTCTTCTGGCTTATCAACTTCCCAGCAAACAGTTGGCTCTAACCAGAGCTCTTTGTTTGACCTACACTGTAATTAAAGTGTATTGAAAACCTGATGCTTCTCTACTGTGATTGGTTTTGGAGTTCTGGAGGAGTTTGTGGAATTAGATCTTAAAATGGCTAAAGTTTATCCTGAATAATTGTAGACAGCATTCCAAATAATTCTGAGCCCATTTCCGAAAGCAGTGAGTTACACAAAATTATCACAATTATCTAATTGAGCATTTTTAAGAAATGTAAAATCTGTAAGATTATTTTTTTTATTTCATTAAATCATTCTAGCAGAATCTTTCCTAAAACTCCATAGATAATAATACTCTTTTCCTTTATCTCTATTTTTATTTAATCAATGTAAGCATATTATGAATAAAAGTTAATTATTTTAATCTGAACATTTGGCAACTTTAAACACTACAAAATTATGAAACTTGAGAAGAAAACTACTCATGTCTCTGGTCATGTGATCTTGGCAAAGACAACAAAGGCGATGTCTAATAACCATGATTTCTCTTTCTGGTAACATTAAAACCACAGGTTACACCTTTTGACCTAAATATTCAAAAGCTTCTCCTTTAATAGTAATTTCTGTCTGTCTTAATCCACTGAAACTTCTTCCTCCTACCACATGTTCATCTTGATTGCTTTGAAATCTATGTGAAGTCCTAGTCTAATCATGTTCGGATTTTACTTAAATTATGGGAAACAGTTTGATTCACATTAAAAACTAATCTAATACTGCACAAGTCTATTGTTGTTTGTATTTTTATAATGTATTATTCAGTCAACCCCTCCTAAATACAAATGTACTTTGATATTTAAAGTATTATGATTGACTTCTTTGTGCCTTTTCCTCAAAACAGGAATTTCAGATTGAATATATACAGTTTTAAAGTCATTTCTATTGGGAATAATTAAAAAGAGGGATTTAAAAGGAAGCAAAAGACTTGTTGGAAACTGGAGGTAGGAGATCTTTGCTATGTAGTGACAGAAAGCTCAGCTACTCTTACCTTCAATAACATGAAAAGTAGAAAATGTGCCTGATGGGCTGTATGATCCAGCTCAGGAGGATTCCAGGCAGAGTATTGACAGTGTTATCTAGATTGTTCTTGCTTCGTCCTTAAGGTGGGATCCTGGACAGATTAATTGTTGAAAGGACTAGTAAAAAGAAACCCGGACCCAGTGGTTTGAAAATTGTCAGCGGCTCAAGAGGCAAAAGATGCTGAAATTTCTTAATGGCTTCTGAAAGAAGTTCAGATTCATTATGTATTTTCTTAACATCTTTCTTATCTAGTTACAAACATATTTTTTGTATGATATTTGATGTTAATGTTGACTTGATCAGAGGAAGGGAGATTGACTTTTATTTCTACCAAAACCATGGATTGTAAACAGACTAGGAAATTGAGGTGCAAATATAAGAAGGAAAAAAAAATCCTCTTAAAGAAGCCTGGGAATTACCTGCTATGTACAGCCATGAGCACTCTAACAAAACCAAAAGAGAAGAGCCGGGGCTAGAACGTGCTTTTGGGCTTGCCTACAAGGAAGTTGCTTATAGACCAAAGTTGATAGGTACCAACAGCCTTCAGTAGGGCTTCAGGAAGCATAAGTAGAAAGTTTATAGGTGTCTGGTTACTGACCACAGAAAAGTCAGTTAGGTGTTCAGTGCATTTAAATCTGTGAGATAACTCCCCACCTCAATTATGGCTTTACAATCTCAACCTTTTGGCACAAATTATTAAACTACATTGGTAAATAATTTGAAAGATGATTTGATGGGACTGGAATTGTGGCTCAGCGGTCGAGTGCTCACCTAGCATGGTCAAGACCCAGGTTCGATCCTCAGCACCACAAAGAAATAAAGGCATTGTTAAAAAAAAAAAAAAAAAAGCGTATCTTAAAAAACAAAAAAAAAAAGAAAGATATTTTGATAGTAGCCAAATCTATTATTGGGGGGCAAGATATATACAATATTGGTGTAATACTATGAAGCATTCTGTTTTAAAATTAGTTTTTCCTCCTAAATTAGAAATAAACACTTAAATTATAAACATAAAGCAGGGTTTCTCAGCTTTTGCACTGTTGGCCTTTTGAGCTGGATTATGTGTTGCTATAGTGAACTGCCATGTGCATTGTAGGGTATTTAGCAGCATCCTTGGCTTCTCTCCTCTACATCCAGGGGTATCCCCCGCTGCCCTGTTCCTTCAGGTTCTGAGAACCAAAAATGTCTGCAGTCATTGCCTGGGGCTCTCTAATGGACAAAATCACCTCCTGCTGAGAATCACTAATGTTAAGGGAAAAATTATCAGAAAAAAAGAAAAAAGGGGGGGGGGGCATTAGAATATAATTGGCAATAGGTATGGATTGTTGTTTAAATGACTGTTGATTCATTGTGCTTTGAAGAAATAATACATGTGTTAACTAATTATAAACTAAACAATTTCAGCTTCAGTATTAGAATTTTTATTTTACTAAAAATATAGTATTTTCTTAAACAGTAAGCAAATACCTTATGAACATAAAACTAATAATTATTTTGATATATGAGGCAATCTGAAAAAACTATTTAGCACTATAACCAGAAAACAATCTGGGTTTTTTAATATCTGACCCAGTGAGTACTTTTTTGTTTAATTAGAGTAGTCCAGGTAAACATCATTACCATCCAGGGTCCCTTGAAAAAATACAAACTCATACTCTCAAAATTTTTGAGGGTGAAAAGTTATGTTCAAAAAATGCTGCACATGGCTTTATTGCCATTCATTTATTTGATTTTATAAGTGATCATGTTTAATAGTGTTTCCCAGCTAGATAGGATGGAATTATCTTCACTTTGGGTCACATCACTAAATTTGTGTTTCAGTCAACTCTTTCACTGCTATGACTAAAAGATCTGACAAGAACAAATTTAGAGGAGGAAAAGTTTATTTGGGGGCTCATGGTTTCAGAGGCCTCAGTCCATAGACAGCGGCTCCATTCCTCCAGGCTTGAGGTGAGGCAGAACATCATGGCCAAAGAGTTGGTGGAGGGAAGTGGCTCAAGACATCACTATCAGGAAGTAGAACGAGAGAGCTCCATTCACCAGATACAAAATATATACCCTAAAGGCATATCCACAATGACCCACCTTCTCTAGCCACACTTTACTTAGCTACAGTTACCATCCAGTTAACCCTTATCAGGGGATTAATTCACTGATTGGGTTAAGGTTCTCATAGCCCAAACATTTCACTTCTAAACTTTCTTGCATTGTTTCACACATGAGCTTTTAGATATTAGGGAGACACCTAATATCTAAACTTTTATGTGCATCCACCTTTTATCCCATGTGATTCAAATCTTCAAATCTTGCCTATATATATATATATATATATATATAATTTTTTTTTCTAAAATGGCTTAAAAGAATGAAGGCAAAAAGAAATGTTGGTTGTGTTTTGTTAAAAGCCCTTCACACCCAGAAAGCAAATGTTGATGGAACTGGTATGGTGGTCAGTGGTTCTTTCAATCTTTTGGCATATGCTCTTGTGCTACAGAAAAGGTATTAAAAAGCATAAGAGTACTGGATGTAGGGTTGAGAACCTGGTGGAATTTTAGGATAAAATTGCCCATCCCTCATGTAGGTAGTTCTTCTCTAGACATTGGTTATAGTCCATGATATCAAATGACAAAAATTCTAATGATTTAATGCAATGATTATCATTACAATAATCAGTGAATTTATTTATAAAGTGTCCTAAAAGGTTATGGAAATGTATTTCCTTATACCATGTATGTGTTTCCCTTATATCATAATGGTGTTTCCAGAATTTAAAATGAAGTAGAACTCTTCTGTACATTTTTCAATAAAAATAATTTCCAGAAATTTACTCAAGTGAGATCTATATATCCTAGTTATTTCAATTTTTCATCAAATTTGACAATATTTGACAAACATGACATCTTACAACAAGGATTTCTAATAATAGATAATATTAGTTTAATATTAATATAATGATAATATTAGTTTCTTACTGTTGTTCATTTAACTTTTTGAATCTCTTACAGTGCCTACACCAACTAATATTACAATTACAACCTATAATATGAACCCTATTCTGCATTGGGAGTACCAGATCATACCACAGACCCCTGTTTTCACAGTACAGGTGAAAAACTACAGGTGAGTGTTGCTCTTATCCTTTTTATTCAAGTCATTACACATTCTGTCACTTTCTGTATTCTCCTAATATCATCCTTCCTTCCTGTCTGGGGAAACTTCTTGAACTGCTTGTAGGTGTCTGGAGGTGCTAAGGATGCAAATTATTCCTTTGTTGAATACATTCTGTCTCTTGCTTTTCCTTCCTGTCAATATTGAAGTGTAGAAATAAAGCTAACTACCTTCTGAGATTTTTTTCTCTCTCTGATATCTTAATAAAGCAAAGAGTACTGTTAATAAAGCACAGCTAAATTTATTGTGATTATTGGAAGCAAGGGAGAATACCACCTTGACAGTATTTTAGCAGTATTGTCTCAGAATAAATAGTTACTGTTCACATGGTCCCAAATTGGAAGAACCACTTAAGTGTGGATTAGTCTTATTTTTTTCCCTCATGATCTGAGGTTAAACATCTGAGGCCTGTCAAAAGCTAATTTGTATCCATTATACAGGACACTCTTTAATGGTGATGTGTGGCTTCATCATTTGACTTAGAAGTTAGCCCTCAGATTTATCCATTGCATAAGTTCTTTTAAGTAAGTGTCTGTGGGAGAAACTTTTTGAGGACATAAATATCCTATTCCACATGAATCCACAAATTTTTTTATTGATTTTTTTTAAAAAAATAAATGACAGCGGAATGCATTACAATTCTTATTACACTTACACAGCACAATTTTTTATATTTCTGGTTGTATATAAAGTATGTTGACACCAATTCTCGTCTTCATACGTGTACTTTAGATAATGATGTCTATCACATTCTACCATCCTTGCTAATCCCCTGCCCCCTCCCTTTCCCTCCCACCCCTCTGCCCTATCTAGAATTCATCTATTCCTCCCATGCTTCCCCTCCCTACCCCACTATGAGTCAGCTTCTTTATATCAGAGGAAACATTCAACATTTGTTTTTTTTGGGATTGGCTAACTTCACTTAGCATTATCTTCTCCAACACCATCCATTTACCTGCAAATGCCATAATTTTATTCTCTTTTATTGTTGAGTAAAATTCCATTGTGTATATATGCCACATTGTTTTTATCCATTCATCCATTGAAGGGCATCTAGGTTGGCTCCACAGTTTAACTATTGTGAATTGTGCTCCTATAAACATTGATGTGGATGTGTCCCTGTAGTATGCTGTTTTTAAGTACTTTAGGTATAGACCGAGGAGTGGAATAGCTGGGTCAAATGGTGGTTCCATTCCCAGATTTCCAAGGAATCTCCATACTGCTTTCCAAATTGGCTGCACCAATTTGCAGTCCCACCAGCAATGTGTAAGTGTACCTTTTTCCCCACATCCTCGCCAATACTTATTGTTGTTTGTCTTCATAATAGCTGTCATTCTGACTGGAGTGAGATGATATCTTAGAGTAGTTTTGATTTGAATTCTTTAATTGCTAGAGATGATGAACATTTTTTTCATATATTTGTTAATTGATTGTATATCCTCATCTGAGACTTGTCTGTTCAGGTCCTTGGCCCGTTTGTTGATTGGGTTTTTTGTTTTTTTGGTGCTTAGCTTTTTGAGTTCTTTATATACCCTAGAGATCAGAGCTCTATCTGATGTGTGAGGGGTAAAAAATTTGCTCCCAAGATGTAGGCTCTCTTTTCACCTCAAAGATTGTTTCTTTTGCTGAGAAGAAATTTTTTAGTTTGATTCCAAAATGGAAAGATCTATCTTGCTCTTGAATAGGCAGAATTAATATTATCAAAATGACCATACTACCAAAAGCACTATACAGATTTAATGCAATTCCGATCAAAATCCCAATGGCATTCCTCATAGAAACAGAAAAGGCAATCATGAAATTCATCTGGAAAAATAAGAGACCCAGAATAGCTAAAGCAATCCTTAGCAGGAAGAGTGAAGCGGATGGCATCACTATATCAGACCTTAAACTATACTACAGAGCAATAGTAACAAAAACAGCATGGTATTGGCACCAAAACAGACTAGTAGACCAATGGTACAGAATAGAGGACACAGAGACTAACCCATAAAATTATAATTATCTTATATTAGGCAAAGGTGCCAAAAACATGCACTGGAGAAAAGATAGCCTCTTCAACAAATGGTGCCAATAAAACTGGAAATCCATATGTAACAAAATGAAATTAAACCCCTATCTCTCACCAGGTACAAAACTCAACTCAAAGTGGATCAAGGACCTAGGAATTAAACCAGAGACTGTGTCTAATAGAAGAAAAAGTAGGCCCTAATTTTCATCATGCGGGATTAGGCCCCAACTTCCTTAATAAGACTTCTATAGTGCAAGAATTAAAACCAAGAATCAATAAATCCACAAATATTTTAACACCAGTTGATTGTATCTGTTATTTCTGTGATAGATTCAAAGTTCATAATTTTTTCAAGATTTCCTGATTCCATGTACACTAGATTGATAAAAATTCAAAAGTTTAAAAGCACTTTGAAGACTGGAGATTACTCTTATACATTACTGGCATGAAGGCAATCTGGCTTTCTGGGAAGAATTTGGCAGTATTTTACAAAACTTTTATTTTATTTATTTATTTTTTTCTGGCTCTAGGAATCAAACTCGGGACCTTACACATGCTAGGCAAGTACTATACCTCCAAGCTTCACCCCCATGCTCCATGTATCTGCTTTTTGGCCTGATGATCCCACATTAGGACCTTACCTTTAAAATACACTTAAAAGATTATAAAGATGTCACTCATATATAGGAGATTATCATACATCTGACCATTCATTAATACATGGAACGCTGTGTAGCTTTAAATGAAAATATGAAAAAAATTTCTATGAACTTACATATGGTGATTTCCAGGATACATTGAAATGAAAAATTAATTTCATAAAGTATATATGGTTTACTCCTTTTTGGTTAAAAAATGAGAATAAATATTTTGTAGGTACTAATTTTGATTAAAAAAAAAATACGAACTGAAAATCTGAAGTCAGTGAAATGACTACCAGGAGGGGGACCGTAACAATACATGGAAGTGAGCAGGAAAAAACTCCCATCTGTTTCTTCATTGGAGAAATGCTGACTGCAGGGTTAAGCCAGGGAAAATCTAAGGGTAACTAGAAAGTGTTCTTCTGATGAAAGGATTTCTTTTTAAAATGTTGGGGAATGTGTCCAAAGGATCCAGGAGCCACCTTCAAAAAAATTTGAAGTTTCTCATGGCCCAAAGGTGGGACTGTTTGAGCTTCAGTATGAATAAGAACATAACATATTGAAATTGGAAAAGAACCCCATGTTTATATTGTTATTAATAATAGTAGTAGTGAAGAAAATGAAGAGCTCTTCTATGGACAATAACTTATAAGATTTTAAGGCATAACAAATGAAGCTAATAATTAAGATGTCATCCTGCTTCCTATGGTGTGTGTATTTGTCATCAGAAAGGCATAAATTTTTTAAAAAATGGATTACTGTTAAGAGGCTTTGTAATGTGCTAGATTTTGGAATTGAGTCACTTCTAGGCATCTACATCTTTAGCATCTAGAGTTGAGTAAAAATCAGATTTTAAAAACCTATAGTGTCATGTTGTTTGTACAGTTTTATATTTTGAATGGAGCCTCTTTATTGTAAAGAAATTTATGGTACATGTTGACTATCCCTTATGTCAAGTGCTTGGAATCAGAAGTATTTCATATTTCTGATTTTTTTTCAGATTTCTAGAGTATTTGTATATAATAATGATATATCTTGGGAAAGGGACCCAAATCTAAACATGAAATTTATCAGTATTTCATATATACCTTGTATACATAGCCAGAAGTTCAAGAGAAATTTAGATAATTTCTTGCCTGAGATCAGTTGATATAATGTTTTAAATAACATTATTCATGAAACACATTTTAATGGTGTAGAATTTTCCTCTTAGGGTATCAAGTTGGGACTCAAAAGTTTTGGATTTGGGAGACTTTTGGAGTTTGAATTTTTTGGATTAAGGATGCTGGACATATATTTCTAACCAAAGAGTAAGGGCTTCCTACTTTGGTTTTTATGTCCTGTTCTAATCCTGTCCTGTTCTATAAACTCTTTCTGCCGCAGTCTGGCTGGGCACAAAATCACGAGCCACTCACAGCCTGTAGATTCAAACAGCAACTCTTTATTCTCGAACTGTCACCGGCACTCTACACCCACGTTCTGGGGAAAATCCACTGGCACTCTACATCCCAAATACTCTCTGAATCCTGTGAGAACTCAACGGGAACTCAAGGAGCGGGCGGGCGCCTGAGGCAGCAGGATATGCCCTATTCCCAGCAGGAATCACCTTAAACCTGGAACCGCCCTAAACCCTGATCGCCCTAAACCCTGATCCACCCTAAACCCTGATCCGCCCTGGTCCTTGAGCAAGGTCACCTTTCATGCAAAGTCACTGCAAATAACCTGGGTCCAAGGCAAGCCCATTTCCACAATGGAGAGTCCTTCCTCTAAGCAACATGGGGTAGGCTGACAAGGAAATTGCCATGTGTCGTACCTACTTAGCTATGGCTCTCAGCATCTTTCTACTAGCTCTGTGTTATAAATGAAAAGCAGAATACAGAGATGGTTTAAGTTAATGTGACAACAATAAAAACTACCTTTATGTTTCTTTATTCCTTTTCATTTTAGGAAGGAACAATGGACTGATGCTTGCACTAATATCTCTCATCATTACTGTGAACTTTCTGAACAAGTTTATGATTTATCTGAATCTTTCTGGGCCAGAGTTAAAGCTAGGATTGGACAAAAAGAATCTGTCTATGCAGAGTCAAAAGAAATTATTTTATGCATACACGGTGAGTAGAATGTAAGCTTGTATAACTTTTAAATTTGAAAATACTCACACATGTCTTCAGTGTATGTTTGCCTTTATTAGTAGTTGCTAAAAATGATCACAGTGCCAGGGAAACACTTGGAGGAATTCAGAGCATCAATAACATTCCTTTCTCCCAAGCTCCACAAAATATGGCTGAGATAGCCATCCCTTTGCTGCTTCAAAACCATTAAGTTTTTGCTCTCTACATTTCTGGATCAGTGCTGTCCAGCTGTAGTCTGTATCAGTTCCCTCCCCTCTCCCCCCATCTTCTCTGTGATTCATTTCAAAGTTACATTCCTTGAGGACTTTGGCTCATTGTTTTCATTGTGCTCATTTGGTTCTCATTGTTCCTAGCCACCTTAAGTCCTTAATGCCTATGAGAATTTAAAAAATCCTAACTTAATACATTAAAATTTTAAGACTTAATCTCTCCAACCCCCCATGATTTTCACTCTTCCCACATTCTACTCCCATAAGATGTGTGATCTTTACTGTCAACCCAAACTCCAGAATCTTCAGTGCCATTTCCTGTTTTCTGACTACATCATCCCACCTTGCCAATCATATCCTCACTCCTGGGTAAAAGAAGCCTGAGTCACTTGGCTCTTCCCTAGTGTGCTCAACCTTGGTTCCTTTTCCTCTACCTTCACTTCTTTCCTGTTCAGCTCCTGTGCTTGGTTACCTCCATGGCTGCCTGCCAGTTCTCTCCACTGCTTTGATTCGGCTTCTGTTTTTCTAATTGTGCTGCCTTGGGCTCTTGCACAGGCACTTCCTCTGCTTGTTCTTTAAATATTAAGGTTTAAATATTAAGTTCTCCTGAGTTCATACCTTTCCCTCTGATACATTACCATCAGTATGTCAGATTTTTCAAGGGCCTACTATGTGTTAGTAAGTATGCCACGCCCTGAGATACACTGGTATAAAACCAGACTTGCCTGGCACATAGTAGGTGCACAGTTAGTATGTGAAGTGTATTCACCAACCAAGTTCCACACATCAAAGACACAGGGAATATTTGCTGAGTACTTAAATGTCTAGTTCTGATTTTCACAAGGAATCATTATTAGCAAACTTTTGTAGAACCTTCCTAGAGCCTTCCTGGTTGTAGTCCCCATACCTCCCTTAGGTTTGGTTTTTCCCCTACAGCTTTCCTCAGCAGATATGCCAGTAAAGATCCAGTAAAGAATGTGGGAAGAGTGAAAATCATGGGGGGTTGGAAAGATTAAGTTGTGAAATTGTAATGTATTAAGTTAGGATTTAAATTCCCATAGGCATTAAAAACACTTGTGGATGTTAAAGAGAGTTTTGTGGGGAAAGATATCTCAAATTCCTTTTTAGAAACCAGATTTCTTAATTTACAGAAATAAAGGAAAATTTTTTGTACTTAATAGAGCTTCTGTTATGGCAAGGTTTTGTTTTATTTGTTTTGTTTGTTTTAAACCAACTTTTATAACCAGTTGTATTTCTCTAGAGCTAGAAGTGAAATTAAACTGATAAAGAGAAGTTTGCCTGAGATTTATTAAATATTTCTTTATGAATGATATTTGGAATATCTTCTAGATCTTTGTGGAGTAGTGTGAATGGGGCCCTACTTTAGAAAAATAAAAAAAGAAGAGTAGGTTGGTTGAGTGATTTTGATAATTTTGAAATGCACCATGCAGTTCCTAGGCTAGTAGTAATTACACTTTCCCTCTCTCCTCCAGGAAAGATTGGACCACCTACACTAGATGTCAGAAGGAAGGAAGACCAAATCATTATTGACATATTTCACCCTTTAATTATTATGGGAAAAGAGGAGGTGACTTTATATGATGATGAAAATCCTTGTTACCCATTTAAGTACATTGTACATATGAAAATTAACAGAAGTGAGGTATGTGTTTCTATTTAATCTTTTCAAAATGAAAATTATTCTGTAGCTAGCACAAGTCATTCTTTTGTACAATATAATGAGAATGGAATTTCAGCCAAGGCTCATGAACCATAGATTTGGGTAAGGGGGGGTGAATTTTATACACACACACACACACACACACACTATTGAAAGGAAGTAGTATGGACTTAATCACTAACATTGACCAGATGTGTACATTAAAGTTTTCTCTGTCCCATTTAGCCACATGACCCTAATCTAAAATTTTACTCTTAACCTTAATTTCTCTATTGGAAACATAAGGATTTTTTTTTTTTTTTTTGTACTGGAGATTGAACCCAAGGGGGCTTTATCACTGATCTAATCTCCAGATCTGGTTCTTTTTATTTTGAGACAGGGACTTACTAAGTCACTGAGGCCAGTTCAGAACTTGAATCCTCCTGCCTCAGCCTTCTGAGTTGCTGGAATTATAGATTTGTGCCGCTGAGCCTGGTAGGATCATTTAAATTTTTTTTGAAAGAGAAGTTAACAGTACAACTGTGAGAATATAATTACATTATTTTCACAGCCCATCCCTATGGCCTTGTTGGTTGTAGTCCCCATACCTCCCTTAGGTTTGGTTTTTCCTTCTGCCTACAGCTTTCCTCAGCAGATATGCCACATTCCTGGCATCTGTAACTTCCTGGGGTCTCCATTGCTGCTTTGACTTTACTTTCAGCGCTTTAAGAATCACACTTTCAGGAGCTTCCTACAGGAATTCCAAACCTGCTGCACATTGCCTGGCTTCGCAGGCCTGTCTTTGAAATCTCAGTGAAAGCCTACATGACTCTGTAACTCTTGCATTTCACATTCCTAAAACCAGCACTATGTGGACAAAGCTAAGGTCTGCCACCAATAGGGGCAGTAACCAGGCACCCCTGGACCATGGCTACTGTGGTCTATGAGTCCCTGGGTATCTGAGCATTCTGAAAAAAATTCTAGGGCTACAACTTCCTGGGGCCCTGCAGGATATGATCAGGACATCCCAGAACTCCTTTCTCAAAGTAAAGACTTTCAAAGAGTTTTCACTTTTATACCCTTGAGCCTGAGATACCTTCAAGGCTTGTTTTGTATTATCTCAGTGCAAAGTAATTGGCTTCTCTTCAGTGATGCTAATTTCTTGAACAACCGCATCTTCCTGGTTCCCAACAAATGTGCTTTTTTTGACTAAACTGCAAATTTTTCCAATCTTTCTGCTGTTTTTTGCTCCCAATTCTCATTGTAAACCTACCTAAAAGGAACCAGCAAAACCCAGGCCACTGCCTGAATGCTTTGCTTCTTGAAATTTCTCCACCATATTAATTAGTCCATCACCTTTAAGTTCAGCCTTACCCAGTCTCAGGACATGGACAAGATTGTAGCCAGAATGTGACATGAATGGCCTCTAATCCATTTCCCAGTGGAGCCTTCATTTTGGTTTGAAACCTCACAAGCAGTTTCTCCCAGCATTCTGTCAGCAATCTGGTCTTCTGAGCTCATTCCAGAATTGTCCATTAAGCTCTTCTTACAACATTCTAAGACTTCTCTATCCTGCATCTTCAGACTTTCTCAAATTAGGGTATTGAACCAATCTGTATATGGGGTAAAAATGGGAGTTTATAGCAACATCACTACTCTTGGTACCAATTTTCTGTGGTAGTCAGCTTTGCACCACCTTGACAAATACCTGAGAAAAACAACTTAATGGAGGAAAGATTTATTATGGCTTATGGTTTGAAAGATTTCGGTTCATGGTTAGCTGGCCGGGTTGCTTTTTTATACCTATAGCGAGGCAGAAACATCATGGTGTAAGGGTGGAGAAAAGCTGTTCACTTATGGCAGCCAGGAAGTGGAAAGAGGGAGAAAGGGGCCAGAGATAAGAAATGCCCTTCCTGGTCATGCCCCCAGCGACTTCTTTCCTCCAACTAGGCCCCACTCCTAAAGTTTCCACCACCTCTCAAAAATAGCATGAAATTATTAATACATCAAATGGATTAATCCACTGATGAAGTCAGGATCCTCATGATCCAATCACCCCTTCTCAAGAGCCCCACCTCTGAGCATTGCTCACTGGGGACCAAGCCTTCAACACATGAGCTTTTGTGGGACATTCTAGACCCAAACTGTATAGTCACCGCTGTCCTACTTACCTTAGTCAGCTTCCTGTTAGTACAGTAAAATGCCAGAGACAGCTAACTTGTAAAGAGAAAGTTTTATTTAGTTCCCAGTTTTAGAAGTTCAAAGGTATGCATCAGCTTAGTTCTAATGAAGGCAGTAGATGGCAGCACATCGCAGTGGGAGCACATGTGTAGGAGCAAACAAGTGATTAAACAAATGATTACATGATTGCATCTCTTCTTTTCCCCTCCTTTTTTTTTTTTTTTTTTTGGTAGTGCTGGAGATTGAACACAGGGCCTCCTACCTCTTAGGCAAGTACTATATGACTTAGCTACACCCACAGCTCAAGTGATTATATCTCACACCATGCAGAGAGAGGAGGGACTGGGGTCTCTCAGTCCCTTTCAAGGATATGCCCCAATGACCTAATGACCTCCCATAAGACCCCATATCTTAAAGGTCCACAGAACTTCCCAATACCACCACCTGGGAACCAATCCTTACCCTATGGGGAACACTTAGCCAAACCACAGCACTACCTTTGCGTCTTCAGGCCCATGCACAGGTGGTCCACACACTGGGGAATGAAAGAGGAACTAGGAGGGGTTGCTTCAGTCATTTCTGTGTATCACTGCCCAGAGACCCTGCAGCCTTCATGCAGCGCCTTTATTATGCTTCCTATAAATGCTGTTCTCCCTCAACAAGCTAAATTTCTAACACTCTAAGCAATGGGACAAATGAACATCTATCTGTTGGTTTAACAACTAATAATGAACATCCCCGCTCAAGTTTTTAAACTTACTATTCCCATAAAGAACATTTTAACAAATGCACATTATCATGCTGTATTTGAAGTGACAAATTGACTTATTATTTGATATGAATACTATTTTCAGACATATTTAGTGTTTGTCATATATGTGTTTTCTTTAGGTGTTTGACCAAGATAACTATGGGGATTTTTGTATAGATGAAGAAGTCAGACATCTTCATTGTATTTTTTTCCCATATAGATGGCAGATATAAAATTTGAACCAAAGGAAGATGATTGTAATGAGTCTCTGTGCCAGTTGAGAATTCCTGTGTCTTCACTGAATTCTGAGTACTGCTTTTCAGCAGGAAACTCAAACACGTGGGGATTTACAATGGAAGCGTCCAAAGAAGTTTGTATAACTATTTCCAATGACAACATAAAGGGTAAGTTCTTGCCATTATTTTCTAAATAGAGAGGGTGAGGACTAAAATATAGTAATGTGAAAAGAGATAAATTTATTTGTAACTTCAACAAATCTCTTTTCTTTTAAAAATATTTAATAATTTCTCAGAGAAACCCAAAATTAAAAATAAGACAGTTTCTCAGGCATTAAAATATGCAAAGTAACTAATTAGGAAAGCCATGTGAGAGCCTTTTGACTCAAGAAAGAAAAAATATAAAATATGTGTAAAATTATATACATAAATATCTACATTTCAAATGTTCATATGGATAACTTATAAAGAGCTAGAAGAAAACACAATTATCTATAGTTCTGTTGTCCAAAAAGATACCCCGTTGTTCGCATCCTATCTTTCTCTGTAGCCATGATTATATTGCATAGTATATATAATTTTTTGTACTGCCTTAAACATATATTTTAACTATTTTTTATTTGACTTCACATATTTTCTTAACATTTTATAATCTCTGTAGAGTATTTCATTTTATAGTATATTATTTTTATTTACTGTTGCCTAATTGTGGGTCCTTTAAGATTATTTTCAGGTTTTTATTATGATAAATCATACTTTGATAAATGTCTTTATGTGTATGTGTATATATTTTCCTGTTGTTAAGGTATTTTTTAGAATGTATTTTATAGGCTTAACAGTGTACTTAAATTTTATAATACAAATGTCTTTTTCTTTTTTAACAAAAACTCAATATAATTTTTCATGGGGAAAATGAAAAGCAGTTGAGAAGGAAGAAAATGTTTCCGTTTAGCAAAGTTTTAATAATACTCTCAATACTAAAACCAACACATTTTAACATCAAATCAACACAAATAAAATGACATCAACAGAAATTTTAAAAAGGGGTACATATCCAGTTTTCCAGAGTAATATTTTAAAAGGAAAAAAAATGTCAAATTGAAACCCAAACAAAACTGTCTCTGTAATGTGTTCACTAAGAAGCCAATGATAAATGCAAACTAATACTATCTAAAACCTGAAAATTTTATTTTCATGACTCTATAAAACCATACCTACACTAACTTTTTACATGTTTATACTTACTCATTTATGCATTTGAAATGAGATCTCATTGTATTGCCTAGACAGGTCTCCAACCGTGGGCTCAGAAATCCTCCCAAGTAGCTAGGATGACAGACACATTACCACTGCGCTGGCCTAAATGTTTTTAAATGATGAGATTAATTCTTCTACCTATGGCTACATCAGTGATTCCATGAAGTAGAATATAATCAGTATGTATTCCACTTTTACTTGTTAATCAGGAAAAAATAGATATTTTGCTCATGATAAATAAATCCCTATGTTCCATTATGCCCTAAAAACACCATCCTTAAGCTTGACTTATCTTGTGAGTTTTTTTAAATTAATTTTAACAATAATATAATCTTAAAAATATAGCCTATTGATTAATAGGTATCATAAACTGACTTTATGACTATGTCAGAGGCATTGAAAATAGTCATCGTGTACAGAAAAAATCAAGGAATAAGTTTTGGTTTTTTATTAATATGTATTAATTGTTCATGTTAATGTAGTTCTTCATGTAATTCTCACACATGCATACACTTGCACTAATCAAATCCATCTTTCTTTTATCCACCTTCCCCATCCACCCACACACCCCCAACCTCTATTAATCACTATTTTAAATTCAGTTTGAGTTGTTTTTAAGCTTCCAAATATGAGAGCGATTGTGCTATACTTGTCATTCTGTGTCTAGCTTGCTCCATTTAACATGATGTCCTCCAATTCCATCTATTTTGCTTCCAAGACATTATTTTATTCTTCTTCATGGCTGAATAATATTTCATTGTGTGAATACACCACATATTCTTTAGCACCTAGACTAATTCCCTATCTTAATTATTGTGAATAGTTCTGTAATGAACAAAAACAATAGTGCAGGTATCTCTTTGGTATATTGATTTCATTTCCTCTGGATGTATACCTAGAAATAGGATAGCTGGGTCATATGGCATATTTATTTTTAGTTTTTTCAGGAACCACCATACTGTTTTCTGTAAGGATTATGCTAATTTACATTCCTACCAATAGTGTATATAAAAGTTCTTTTTTTCCCACATACTTGCTAGCATTTGTTTTTGTTGTTGTTGTTTTGATCATCGCCATTCTTACTGGGGTGAGACGGTATCTCATTGTAGCTTTAATTTGCATTTTCATGATAACTAATGATGTTTAGCATTTTTTTCATATTATTTGTAGGCCATTTGTATTTCTTTTTAAAAAATGTCATTCAGATTATTTGCCCATTTTTACATTAGATTATATATTTTTGTTATGTTTTTCGAGTTCCTTGTCTATTCTAGATATTAACCCTTTACCAGGTGAATAGTTGGACATTATTTTCTCCCACTCTGTACATTGTCTCTTGCCATGCAGAAGTTTTTTACTTTGACGTAATCCCATTTGTTTGTTTGTTTTTGTTTTCTGTGCTTTGAGGGTTCTATTCAGAAAATAAGTCCCGGTACTAATGTATTAAAGTATTTCTGTTATGTTCTATTTTAGTAGTTTAAGTTCCAGGTCTTACATTAGGTCTTTGATCCATTTTGAGTTGATTTTTATATAGAGATAGAGGTCAAGTTTTAATCTTCTGCCTATGGATATCTAATTTTTCTAGCACCATTTATTGAAGAGACAGTCCTTCCTACAATGTATGGTTTGGGCACCTTTGTCAAGAATCAGTTGGCTGCAGATGTATGGGCTTATTTCTGGGATCTCTATTATGTTCCTTTGGTCTGTGTTTCTGTTTTTATATCAATACCATGCTGTTTGGGTTTCTCTGATTCCATGGTATGTCATAAAATCAGGTATTTTGATGCCTCAAGCTTTGTTCTTTTTTGCTCAAGATTGCTTTCACTATTTCATCTTTTATGCTTCCATATGAATTTTAAGATTGTTTCTTCTGTGAAGATGGAATTGGTATTTTGATGGAAATTGCATTGATTCTGCAGACTGTTTTGGGTAATGTGGCCTAACAATATTCTCCCAACCTGTGATCCAGGTCTTTCTGTTTTTCTGTGTGTCTTTAATTTCTTTCAATAGTATTTCTTTTTCAATGTAGAGGTCTTGCATTTTCTTGGTTAATTATTACCAGGTATTTGTGTACATACTTGATGCAGATAGGATTGCTTTCATAATTTCTTTTTATTTTTATTTTTATTGTTGGTTGTTAAAAACATTACATAGTTCTTGATATATCATATTTCACACTTTGATTCAAGTGGGTTATAAACTCCCATTTTTACCCCGTATACAGATTGCAGAATCACACCAGTTACACTTCCATTGATTTACATATTGCCATACTAGTGTCTGTTGTATTCTGCTGCCTTTCCTATCCTCTACTATCCCCCCTCCCCTCCCCTGCCCTCCCCTCCCCTCTTCTCTCTCTACCCCCTCTACTGTAATTCATTTCTCCCCCTTGTATTATTTTTCCCTTTCCCCTCACTTCCTCTTGTATGTAATTTTGTATAACCCTGAGGGTCTCCTTCCATTTCCATGCAATTTCCCTTCTCTCTCCCTTTCCCTCCCACCTCTCATCCCTGTTTAATGTTAATCTTCTTCTCATGCTCTTCGTCCCTACTCTGTTCCTAGTTACTCTCCTTATATCAAAGAAGACATTTGGCATTTGTTTTTTAGGGATTGGCTAGCTTCACTTAGCATAATCTGCTCTAATGCCATCCATTTCCCTGCAAATTCTATGATTTTGTCATTTTTTAAGGCAGAGTAATACTCCATTGTGTATAAATGCCACATTTTTTTATCCATTCGTCTATTGAAGGACATCTAGGTTGGTTCCACAGTCTTGCTATTGTGAATTGTGCTGCTATGAACATCGATGTAGCAGTGTCCCTGTAGCATGCTCTTTTTAGGTCTTTAGGGAATAGACCAAGAAGGGGAATAGCTGGGTCAAATGGTGGTTCCATTCCCAGCTTTCCAAGAAATCTCCATACTGCTTTCCAAATTGGCTGCACCAATTTGCAGTCCCACCAACAATGTACAAGTGTACCCTTTTCCCCACATCCTCGCCAGCACTTGTTGTTTGACTTCATAATGGCTGCCAATCTTACTGGAGTGAGATGGTATCTTAGGGTGGTTTTGATTTGCATTTCTCTGACTGCTAGTGATGGTGAGCATTTTTTCATGTACTTGTTGATTGATTGTATGTCCTCCTCTGAGAAGTGTCTGTTCAGGTCCTTGGCCCATTTGTTGATTGGGTTATTTGTTATCTTATTGTCTAATTTTTTGAGTTCTTTGTATACTCTGGATATTAGGGCTCTATCTGAAGTGTGAGGAGTAAAGATTTGTTCCCAGGATGTAGGCTCCCTATTTACCTCTCTTATTGTTTCTTTTGCTGAGAAAAAAACTTTTTATTTTAAGTAAGTCCCATTTGTTGATTCTAGTTATTAACTCTTGTGCTATGGGTGTCCTATTGAGGAATTTGGAGCCCGACCCCACAGTATGTAGATCATAGCCAACTTTTTCTTCTATCAGATGCCGTGTCTCTGATTTGATATCAAGCTCCTTGATACATTTTGAGTTAACTTTTGTGCATGGCGAGAGAAAGGGATTCAGTTTCATTTTGTTGCATATGGATTTCCAGTTTTCCCAGCAACATTTGTTGAAGATGCTATCCTTCCTCCATTGCATGCTTTTAGCCCCTTTATCAAATATAAGATAGTTGTAGTTTTGTGGATTGGTTTCTGTGTCCTCTATTCTGTACCATTGGTCCACCCGCCTGTTTTGGTACCAGTACCATGCTGTTTTTGTTACTATTGCTCTGTAGTACAGTTTGAAGTCTGGTATCGCTATACCGCCTGATTCACACTTCCTGCTTAGCATTGTTTTTGCTATTCTGGGTCTTTTATTTTTCCATATGAATTTCATGATTGCTTTCTCTGTTTCTACAAGAAATGCCGTTGGAATTTTGATTGGCATTGCAT